GCAGTATGACCTCTGAAACGTTGGTTAACATCAACCAGACTACACAGCGCAACAACCCAGAAGACGGTTATCTTCATACTCACCGCTGTGAGAACCTCAAGTCTTACATCATTACTATTTATTGCCCTACAATTTACAGCTTCCCGTGGGTCTCTAGCACCTTCGATATCGCGACTTAAAACAAGAATGCCCCTACCTAATTCTTCTCGGCGCAAGAGTCCAGGGCTTTGTGCGAAGCAACTCCCCCTCCCCGCTCTCATGACAGAGAGAGACCTCTCACGGACCGCACAACGCGATCTTCCACACTTGCTCTTAAAAGCACTTCTCTGTCTGTCGTACGCAGAGTCGAGATCGGATATTAACCAGATCCCAAACATTCCTTTCTGCTCAGATGGCATAAACAAGACTTCTGGCTCTTAGGGCTAAAGTCCATCCTTGTTTTCGGCAAGTGGTGCTAAGATCTTAAATTTTGTTAATATAAGAAAGGTTTTGACATACTGGAAACACACAGAATCAATTAATAAAACCAAACTAATTCCAGATGAGCGGTTACATCACTCCCTAAGTGTAATATCGCTGTTACAAATTCTTTGGAGCCATCGAGATTACACTTACGCCCATCATACGTGCTCATCTAGTCACAGCTGATGGCATTATAATGCTGTTTCACCCTTCATTCTGGCGAAACGTCATTCAAAACTTGAGGTGTCATAAAACCTCACTCTCTCTCTTTCTCTCTACAAATTATCAACTGGTTTAAGAAGGTCTTCTGCCTCCTACCACCATTCATAACAATTGGTTATATTCTTATCTTAGTATAAATGAATCCTGGTTCTAGTGTGTTCAATACATCACATTTTTTTTACATAACTTATTCACTTATTAATCACATAATCATTTTCAAGCAATATGCATTTCATATCATATAGGTATCATACTCTAGTGTGTGTAGGGCATTGCAACTCAGTTCTGTAACTACTAGTTTCGTTCGCACGTAACAATTCCAATGGTTGGTGCACCAAGGAAAGGATTTATTGATCAAACATAATTAAACTCATGGATCCTAAAAAAAATAAAAAAAGGGAATAGACGTATTCCAAATTAGCTTTCTTTCTGTTAGTCAACCCATCATCACGCGACATTTGAAACGTAAAAAAAACAATAATAACCTGATCTGATTGACTCAATCTAAGTGCCATCTTCGCTCTCTACGAACGGCTTAAGCGACCTCTTGTTAAATCGGCCACGAACTCTCCCGTCTTTATCGGCTATCTCATACGTGTAAAACGTCATCGACATATGTCACGACAAATCCAGCGGTATCAAAAACCCAGCACCAGCTGTAGAGCTCTGATGAAAGCAGACATGGAATTTTTGAATCCGTAGGGAGTACGCTTGTACTGAGAAAACTGTAGATTCGAACAGAAAGGCGGTGTATGGCCTTGATTCCTCTTTCAAGGGGCGGAACTCAGGTCTATGGAGGTCATATATCTAACCCCATGGAACTTCTGTAAAAGTTCATTCAATGGTGGAGTTCTAGCCCTGTCAGGAATGGTGACGTCATTAATTTTCCTAACGTCAACACATATCCTCAGTGCCCTGTCTTCTCTAGGAACAACAGTGAGCGAGTTCAAAAATGGTGATTTGGAAATTTCAATTATATCATCCTTCAACATTTGGTCTATGTGCTCTTTAACCAGTGGCCTTAATTTGAATGGTATAGGCCTAACTTGACCTACGAAGGGCTTGTCATTGACTAGCCTAAATTCATATTCAAAGTTTCTACATCTGCCTGGCCTGGAGGTTAGAAAAGGGGAATATCTCACTAATAGTTTAATTAAAATAACCTTCTCGTCCTCATTTAAATAACTGTTACTGTTAACCAGATGTGAACCTCTGCTTCGCTGATAGCACGTGGGTCAGGATGTTCGCTTCCTAATGTATGAGTATTGGTAGGATTCAACTGGCTACTCCCTGATCTACTTATCATCTTCCCTTTACCTACAAACTGCCTATCTCTCAGGCTACTTCTAACTTCACAAATATGCACATATACTTTTTCATCAATACTCTGGCCGTATTTCAAATTCGTCGGTATATAGGGGACGTTGCCCTAACACATTAGCATCATCAGCTATAAAAACACTTAACTCGTCTCTACTCTCTAGGCTCACTGGGAT